TTGAAATAAGAAGTCCTCCTTGACCAGAGAACTGTCACTTTCTCACTGTGTCCTGGATACAGCTGTCCTTCCAGCCCAGATCCTCATTCCACAATGTATTACAGCTGATGGCAGACCTGTGTTCTGAAAGGTGCTTGCCTTATAGAACCATTCCTTGTTCCTCCACATCACAGGTGTTCAATGAGTGCATTCAGTATATTGATAAGTATCTGAATGTTGTATTTTTCATCACTATAGATGCCCACGTTGTGATTTGTCACTGAACTGAGTAAAGGCTTCTGTAGCCAGACCATGCTGCAATCAGTTACAGTCCAACTGTACTGTAATCCTGGGTAGCCAAGATTATTTAGAAGAGAATTAATAGGCTTCAGACTGTGTGTGAAGTGAAAACCACAGTAGGCTTTCTGTTATTTTGCTTATTTTTAATATTCTGGTGTGTTCTGCAGGCATTCGCACACAAAGGGGCAGCGAGGTGTGTGAAGTTCCTTTTACTGAATACTGCTTTTTCCATGATGAAACAATTACTCTTGGCCTTCTGACCAGAAAAAAGCTTATTTTAACCATATCATAAGAAAATTAAAAAGGATTGACATAACTGGGAGAAGACAGGGGTGGGGAGTACTAAAAATAGGTTGTTACCTAAAACCAGATTTTTTTGTTTTGTTGTTTCAGAATCTTTTAAGTTATTTTATTAGTTTTCTAGAGATGTCATAACTTTGTGTAAAGAGCATCCCTAGCCTGTACATGACTTTGAAATAGTGCTGGGGAATCCAGGTGGCCGTTTTCATCAGGCATAACCTTTTAGCTCCTGGGAATGTGGCACTTCTGTCCAGCTGGAATGCTAATATTCCAACCTTTCAGGGAGGCAGAATTCTGTATGGGCTCTATTAAGGTGTTTGTGTTGACCCCACATTTAAACGTTAGAAACTAGAAGTCTAATGCCATATTTGACCACCAGTTGCTCCTTTCATGACTTCCTGCCTGGATTTTTTGCCTTATGTGAGTCAATTGCAGTTTATGGGACTTGAGGATAGAGACAATGAAGTCAAGTCAACTCATCAGAGAGGAAAGTTGGGAACATGAACTCTCAGAATCCATCGTAGAACAGCATCAGTCCCATCAGAGTTAAAGGAAACTGGCCAAAGGGTGAGAGTACTTGAAGTTTGAGAAGAGATTAGTTCTATAGTACGAATTTGTTAAGTTTGCTGGCTTTGATCTCTTGGAGCAGTGTATGAACAGGAAATTCTCATGAGGCAAACAGAAGACGACATCTCTCTCCAAGAGCAAGCCAGTTACTTCCACCAGTGTTATTGGCTGTGGGAGGAAATAAGAGGACAAATTCTGTGGGAAGAGCATGAGCTTATGTTGTATTAAAGTACATTCTGGTGGGTTTCTGTGGCTGGGTTTTGATACTGGGGGGGGCTACAGGGGTGGCTTCTCTTAGAATCTGCTAGAAGCTTCTCCTGTCCCGTGGAGCCAATGCCAGCTGGCTCCAGGATGGAATTCCTGCCGCTGGCCAAGGTCGAGCCAATTGGGAATAACAGTAACACCTGCATGATAACATATTTAAGAATAGAAGGTTGTTGCACAGAAGAAATTTCACCCAGGGAAGAGCAGAGGGAGAGTGAGAGAGTGGCTTTAGTGGGTACGTGGTATCTGGCCAGGGTCAACTCACTACATATGTATGTAAATATATTCTGAAGATGCAGTTTCATATTGCAGCTAATTAATCTGACTGCTGGTTACCTCTCTGGTGGTCACCATTCCCTTGCCTGTCACTGGTGCTGGGCTCCTGCCTCCTTTATGTTGATGTTGCAGAAAGCCAGTTCAGGGAGTTCAACAGGCAAAAACCCCTAAGCTTAAAATAGGGTAACTTAGAGCTCCCCAAGGCAGTTCACTAAGGAAAAAGAAGGAAGGAGTGAAATCTCCCTTTGGGCTGTTGGATTACCTTCAGTGAAAAATACCCATCAGGTTGGACTTCCATGAGCAAGTTTAGGTTGCTGGCTGCTCTAGGTTTGTGCTCATGGTGAACAAATGATCTTGCTGTTCCTACCCAGTTTCAGCTATGGCTATGAGTTGGATCTGACTTGGATTTGAAAGCAAGCTCAGCTTCACATACTGTCCCATGTGTGTCCGTCAACAGCCACCCCACCTTGTGAACCTCAAACCCAACAGCCCAAACAAAGCACAACACAAATAATCTGCAAATTTTGAACTAATTCAGCATGTTATAATGATCCTGTAGCCTCTACTGTACAACCTCTACTTGCAAACAAGCCCAGGCCAACCAGCAAAAGCTGATTGTTTTCATTGCTCTGGCAGGAATGGGTGGAATCACATCTTTCAGCAACAGCAGGTAGTTTGATCAATTTATGCTGACTGAGAAACAGAAAAGTTAGATGGAATCTGGAAAACAAAGTTCCAGTTTATTAAGTCATGTTGTACCCAGCATTTCTTAGCATCTGTACACACTGCTGGAACTGTAATGGTGGAATTTACCTCTTTGAAGGTAAATTGGAAAACCAAAGTTTATTGTGACTTTATTTACCAGAGTTTTAGTGCATTTTTTATTAAATTTTGTTAGAACAGCTTGACTTTCAAACTAATTAAAACACTACTGTTTGTCTTCTTTCCAAAAATACTTTGTTTTGAATATTGCAATCACTTAACTAAGAGGAGGAGTAATTAAAGTTATTCTCAAACTGTACAATTTAGTTTATTTAAAAATGCTTTATATAGTTTTTAGATTAAGTTATAAATGTTCACTTTGGAACTACCTGAAGATTAATAGTGATGCATTTGAAATGCATTATTTTTTTATTGATTCTTAATGTAGTAAATTACTGAAGTTATTTGGCAGCAAACAGAAATAGCCAGTGATGTTGTTCACATTTATTTTCCTGATAGCGTCACAATTTGCATTAATTGCATTGCAGCTGCACTCACTTATATTAAAAAGCTTCTACCATAATTAATCCTTTTTATTTCAAATCATTTTGGCACAATTTCTAGCAATAAACACTCATAAAAGACAGACACTTGAAAAATAACATACAAGTTTCTTCAATATACCTATTGCTGCTTTTCCTGACAAGGAATTATTGATAGGCTTCTAGGATCAAGTGTTGCAAGTGGTGAAGACTTAAGACCAGTTTGAAAAATGCTAAGTGGATTGTTTTGCATAAAAAATAGACAGGTTTTGAATTTGTGTAATTAACCTGTGTTTAGAAAATACCTTGATTTATGTCTACATTTGTATTTCAGTTGCATACATTATGGAAATTTAATTTATAATCCATTTAGCTGATGTGATCATAGTTTTTAGTGCTATCATTTATTAGTCCTTGTATATTAAATGCTCTAAAGGCTTAAACCTGCCTTGTGTAAAAAATTACACCTCTGCATTTACATTTTATGAGTCATAGATGGAATTCCATTTTAAATTCGGGTAGCTTTGATATATTTAAGGAATTACAATAGCTTTATTGTTACTAATGCAGGAACAGCAAACACTGACCTTATACATTGCAAATTAATGATTTATCCCTCTAGTTTGCTTTTAAAGTCAACTATACAAATGAGGATTTCGACTTCTACACCTTGAATAAATCATATGGCTCTAAATATAATGCACCCTTTGGCTTTGAACTCGTTATTCTTAATTCTTTTGCAAGGTCTAACTCACCTCATAGAAATGTTCTTTCAAAAGTTTAAGGAATTGTGTATATTTTTCTTAATGTCTTTGTTGGAATATCATTGAGTGATTAGAGCTACATTTATTCTTTTTTTCCTTCCCCTCCCCCTCCACTGTGCTTCATTTTCTAAGTTTGCAACAAATTATGGAGGAATTAATTAATGCCAAAATACTGCTCTTGGAGAGTCAAAAGGGGAAGAACAATGATGTTACAGTGATGTTATGGTGGGGTTGCCTTTTCTGATCAGGCTGTCAGTGATTGCAATGATCTGTAAAGATTTGGTTGTCCTTGGGAGAGATGCTGATGTGGCAAAGAGACCGGACAATGGGAATGGCTATGGACAGAGAGCATGTGCTGGGAATATTTTGGGGTTTTTTAAAGCAATGGTTCTTCATTCAGAATAGCTCTGAAGTTTCCATCTCTCCTTCTTTTGAGAGCTACCATAAATACTTTTTCCTTCCAGTCAAGAAGTTGTTACTGACTTAATGAAAAACCTGCAAAGTTGCTTTGCATGACATCGAAATGTGCTCATAGAGTAGATGAACTGAGAGTGGTATTGCTGGAGTTCTGTGCATTTTTTGAAAATTCTTGGGGATACATTCAGTTTACAATAAAAATACATTTTTCATGAGTGCTGCATATTTGGGTCAGGTGCACTTTTAGTTCAGTAATCATTTGACAGGTCAGGTGTGGAAAGGGTTAGATGTATGATACAGTCATAGCTGGTAAGCTCTCGGCTTGGAAATGAGGGTGGTTTGATTGTGCCATTAATTCACCAAAAATGTGCAGCAGTGAATCTGTGTAACAGTTTGGATTAGTTTAAAATGTACTGGGTTTGCAGAGTTATTTTTAAGGGCATGACTATCCCACATGTAGCAATTTATATGAATGGAAAAATATTGCTTGTGATGATGCTGATGGAAGGAAAGATGTTAACTTTTTTTCTGAGAGCTACATTGATGCAATTGCATTGTCCTTTAGCAAACTTTGCTTTTCTTGCCAATCTGTGTGATTTGGTCAAGAAGATTAATGACAGATAAGCAGTGACCTTACATTTTAAATCACCACATAATTAATTTGTGAGATTTGGGGCCTTAGTGTTTCACAAGAATATACACATTTCAAACTTTGTCTAAATATTCTTAAATTCATGCAATATCTGGGCTATTCCCATACCAGAAGAACCTACTCAGGCACCACATTAAGAAGGAATTACAGAAAAGTTAAGAAATAGACAGTAGCCTTCAGAATTCCTGCATGTACAACAGTAAAATCTAATCTGCTTTTAATTGCTTTCTTTTTTAGGCTCTTTATGAAAATATGCTGGTGGAGCTGCCATTTGCTAGTTTTTTCCTCTCAAAGTTGCTTGGGACAAGTGCTGATGTTGATATTCATCATTTAGCTTCATTAGATCCAGAAATGTACAAAAATTTGCTTTTTCTCAAGAGCTACGAGGGGGATGTGGAAGAACTTGGACTAAACTTCACTGTGGTGAATAATGACCTTGGAGAAGCACAGGTAAGAATGGCTTTCAATTTTTTTTTTTTTATGTGTGACTGATGAATCATTACTACCCCTGCTAATTAATTTTTTAATTTAAATGTGATAGGAAACAACTGTTAAAGGTGCTGTGATTCTGACTCAAGATTTGGAGTAGACAGTAACTAACCATGTACTGAAAAAAATAACTTGATGATGACTTAAAGGTCTTGTGGTAAACTACAGTGATTATTTTATAACAGTCATACATACAAAGTTCTATTGCCTGAGATAATTTCTTGAACAAAATATTTTATGTTGGTTCTTCAATGGCACTTGAAATAATTGCAAAAGTTAGATGATATGTAAACCATAGAAGTACTGCCTGGTTTTGGAGTTGGAGTTAGCTGTCAAAATGGTTTTAAATACTAATTATAGAAATGATCCTTTATTGTGAGATAAGCATTGTCTCCTTTATCTGTAATTTTCAAGGTAGAGAGCCTGAAGTTTGACTGACCTTCATTTTTCTTTTTACACCTCTCCATTTTTTTAAAGTGTTGAGACACCTGATAAGTCAGAGGGGATAAATGGTGTTCAGTGCTTCTAAAAAGCAGTTAGTTAGGTACTTAAGTATATTTTTTTAATGCAATTGTACTGAATAATTTGATTATGGCTCTCGTTTGCTCTGTTGTGTGTGCTAAAGATCACTTACACTCTTAGTAGGAAATAAATGTCACTAGAGCTTTAATAGCATGTCTTTATGTGCTAATGCAGTTAACCTCCTTAGGTAAAGTATTTTGTCATGCTTACTCTTTAATTTTTGAGGATTTAAAATGGTGTACTACTTATGGTCTATTTATACTGGATTATGGTACATAATTGGCTCAAAAAAGTAAACTTGACCACACTGTGATGTGCAGCAGTGATGAACTGAGCCTCCTCTCTTGAGGAAGAAGCAGAGACTCTAGAAGGGGTTAAGCAGTTCTCTGGGGTTTCCCTTTGGTCAGGGAAGCTGAAAACTTCTGTGATGCAGCAGCACCACTGAGATGCAGTAATTAGTTCTGGAAGTTGTTAGGTTGAATTCTCTACTGCCAAGACTTCAGCTTGAACAGCATCAGGCTTGGACTTCATTTTACTCTTTTGTCATCCATTTTCTGTCATTTTGGAAGATCCTAATACCTGGGTTGCATTAAGTTTTACAATAGTATCTCAGATTTGGGGTTCCTGCAGCATACTACAGAGGAGAGTCAACAGTTGCCTGATATAAGTAATGTTTAACATTAAACATATGCCATATGTATTTTTCTCTCATGGATTACACTCTCTGTATGAAACCATCTGACCTGCTCTGTCTTTAGAGCAACACTCAAAAACTTGAGAGAAAGACATGTGCAACAAATGCACTAAAAAGCACATTCTTAAAGCACCTGTTGTTCTGTACCCTGTGCTCTAAGTGACTGGTACTGAGGTCTGCAGTACCCAATTTGGGTCCTGGATTGCAAAGCACACGAGGTGGTAGTTTCCAGTATAACCTGGGATTTTCAAGGAGGAGGGGAAAGTCAAAATTCTAAAGCCATTTGTTAAACTGCACTTAATAGCTTAGTTGGTCACAGCTAATACCAGTCCAGTTTAGTATCTAATCAAAAATGAAAAGTAGCAAATATTTTCTGGAGGGGTTTTGGTTTCCATACTTTATCCATCTACTCAGTATGTCCTCAAAAATTAGCCACACAAGTTAGAACCTACTTCAATAAAAGGACATAGAAAGGGGAAATAGCTCAGAAATAACATAAAGGGAGATCCAAGTTAAAAGATATTGCAAGATCTACCTACTGCAACAAAAAGCTGTAAAATGTGCATTCTTGCCAAGAAGCCCAGTTTGTTTGTTAAAATTCTCTGAGGGCTATGGCATATTATCAAGACTTTTGATTTGTAATTTTTTGGCATAATTTTAAAAGGAAGATTAAATATAATAGTAAGTTACTGAGCTACTAAATGAAATGTAAGTTAATATAAATATTCTGGTGCTGGTTTGTTGTGTTTATACTTGGAGAGAGAACACTGTACCCATGAAGTATAACCATCTTTTTATGGCACTGACTGCATGTTTTTGTAGTTCAGCAGAACCTTGCTTCTTGTCACCGTCTGCTGCCTTTCAATACAAGAAGTTACTTCTTATACTTCATTTCATTACCTTAATAAACCTCATATGGGTAAATACATTTTGTTTGCTATTTGACTTGTAACCACTGCATACTAATTGATTGTGCCAAGGTAAGGCTAATTCACTTTAGGAAAAGAGCTTAATTTGCAGTCCTTATGTTGAATGTACATTATCTGTAGTTTTCAGCTAAACAACCACTTTAGTGTTTAATAAATTAGTGCCCAATAAATGCATCATAAATCTATCATTGTAAATAGCTGTCCTCATGGCAGTGTCCATCCACCAGCTGTGGCACAAAAGCATTATCTGCAATGAAAGACACATTCAAAAGGGGCTCTATTGCCTCTGTCAGTAGTAGAAGGTAGAAATTCTATTATCAGTGTATTGATTCCAATCCTGTAATGCGCTTTTAGATCCCATTAAACTATTGTCAAAGTGCATTCACCAGAAGTTGAAAAAGGTACTTAATAATTTGCACATTAGACCTGCTAATTAGGGGAGCTATGCCATCAACCTTATCTCCCAACCCCAAATAGCTTTGGCTTTTGATAAAGAACTATCTAATGCAGTGATAGCAGCATACATTTCAACTGCCTGGGTCTCCTGCATAAAATGGTGGCCAGTAAAAAAGTCTCAAAAGGATGTCAGGTGCCTTCAAGTAGCAATGTATATTGATTTAATTTTTCCCTTTATCTTGTACATTAGATGGTAATAAAATGGTTATAAAAAATCTGCAATAAGAATAAGGTTAACAAATTCAAGAAAACACCTTCTCTTTTCAGACCTCTCACCCTCCCTTTCTCTGAGTGAGAGGAGGAGGGTGAGTTTTGTGGCTGTCCAGGGGAAGAGGGGAGGTTGCAAGTGTGCATTCCTCTTCCCTCAGAAACGTTAGATGCTGTACTCCAGCAAGTTCTTCTCAAACATTGATTCTTGAGATTACATGGATCAGAAGTTGAGCACAAATCCACAGGAAAGCACTATGATATCCATGGCAGCAGTTCCTATGAAATCCATATCTTATGGAAGTTGGTGTTGGGACACCTTCTTGGGCTTTTTAAACAGGTGTGAATGCCATTGCTGTCACTGAAAATATGCTGACTCAGTAAAGGGGAGTTCTTTGCCTTTAAATTTCTTCGAGAGAAAATTTTGAAGTGTTAAAAATAGTTCTGAAAGTTTCTGTCTTGGCAACCTCTGTAACAGGATACAGCAGCTTAGATGAATTATTTTGGAGGTTTTTCAGAAGCAAAGCCTGATCCTTCTCAGGCAGATTCATAACACTTACAGCAAATGCATTCTTAGACACTGATATGCAATCTCCTACCTGAACTCCTGCCTGAACATCTGGAAAGCAGATGACAGGGAATGAAAGGAAAAAAAAAACACACCTTTATTGGCTTATTTTCAGAATGGGGAAGAAACTTCAGGGGTGATAGGAAAAAAAGTGATCAGAGCCCAAGGAAAAAAAGATGCAGTATTTTCATCTGTCCAGAAAACAAGTTTGTAGGAGTTCTTGACTGTGTAAGAGAGCTTTGTAAAATTGGAGGTTCTATGATTGTCTGAAGAGATACATGTCGAGTGTCTTCATGCACAAAGAAAGAATACTTAGATGACAGAAAAAAATATTTTTTCCTGAAGTATTTCCTACTTTATTGTCTAAATATTCCCTTTTTGTCTATTGGATTGGGAAGCAGCTGCAGCTGGTAGATCTATGTGAGAAGCCACAAGCTTAAAGTTTGTCTGCCAACAGAGACTTGCCTTTTTCTGCCCATCGTCACATTGCAATTCTGCTTTTTGTGACAGATTTGTCATAAGACAAATCTCCTGAATTCTGCTTGACAAAGATGTTATTTACTGTTTTGCTGATTTTTGGTGTGTATTTAATTCATTATTGTGATAATGTTCAAAATAGCAGATATAATAACTCAAAATGATTGTTTGAACTGCAGTCATATCTAAACCAGAGATTTACCTTTTTTTTTTTTACACAAACTGTGGTGGTTTTCCTAAATAAGAATATGAATATAAGTTGATTACGTTTTTAGTGTGTACCTGCAGAATCATATAATTGAATTCATAGCCAAGAAAATCTGAAGTGCAGGCAACTTGTTCAGAGTCAGAGGCCTGATGCAATACTTCTGTCCACAGTACTAAAAAATGCAGATTTTTGAAAATACGTGACTTTTCAATTTGAAGACATACTTTGTGAGTAGGGATTCAAATTCAGTTATCTGGGTATTGTCTGAATGGTCTGAATACTTCTCTTAAATTTTGCGTATGGTTTGATTGCCTTTAATACGTGAGATTTTGATAATGAACCAAGTTAAAATGCTTCTGTTTGTTTGTTTGTTTAAACTTAGATCTACAAAACAGAAACTAAAGTGATGACACAATGTAGTTTTCTAGTCTGGGCTGCCCCTTGTAACCTGTGTTATTGCCTTGCACCATCTAGTGGCGAAAATTGGATGGATAAAAGTGAAGATATAAGCTGATAAAGCTTTTAAGATGTATTAACTTGTGCTATGGCTTTTTGAAAAGGAACTCTTCAACAATCATTCCTGACTTTTACAATTAAGTGGGAATTGTGCAGAATTGTGCAGTAGTTCCTTTAAAACACCATGGAACATTGAATGACTGAAAGGTGAACTGCATTGACATTTACTGTAGCTTTACTCCCACCCAGTGTTACTGTTTTCTGTCTTCTGTTTTGCATCCCTCTTAGCCTTTATGGCAGACTATATTTATTATTCATGCTGCATTATCCATTTTGTCTCAGTCTTGGATGATACTTTGACAAAAGAGTGGTAAAATTAATCTCACATTGACAAACTCTGAAAAGGATAGTCAGATCACTGGAAAACCCCAGGAAATGCAGTTAACTGAGTGCTGTACTCTTGCTTGTGGCAATGGAGGGCTGTGGGGAGGAAGGGGAGTGTTGGATCAGAAATCGAGGTTTGCTAATTAAAAATATAAAAGGAATAATAGGATTTGTTAAAAAAGAACACTCTTTGTCTTGTTTTCTAAAACTAGTGGTCAAGAAAGAGTACAAGACTTTTTTTCTCTTATTTTAGGAAGAGCATTATAGCTTTGATTACAGAATGAATACAATTTCCTGACATCCTTAGAGCACTGTGGAGCCAATGCTATTACAATGCAAATGTAAATTAATCTATGTCCTATTTGTGTTTGCTGACCTGCAGGGAAGGTCAGACGTTTTACTTCACTTAGTTCTGGGTTGAATCTTAAAATACAGCAGTTTTCTAAATCACCCTGCCAGTAGTTCCCTTTTGCTGTTTTAGGAAAGAGGCTAGTTCAAGCATATTTTTTTGTAAATACTGAGCTTACAGACATTATAATTTGCAAATGTAATAATATTTATTAGTCAGTCTGTTGTTGGTGTCCCTATTCTCAAGAGAAGCTTGATGAGTTAGGTGATACAAATGTGCTTTAATATGGCCCAATTCAGTGTGTCCATACCTCAGAGAGAGGGATTGTATTGGGTGCAGTAGTGTCAAAAGAACAAGGAATTCTGCAGTTTGGCAAAACAAGTAGAGAAGGTTTGTAAGTGGGCAGAAAGAAAAGTATTAGTGGCGTTGAGGTCTCAACACTGATTTGTTCATGTGGAATGTCATTGGTAGCTCTGATACTGTAAAGGTGAAGGGGACGAGAATTGAATAAGTAAGAGAAAGCTTTCTGATCTTGTTAGACTTTGTAAAAGGGTATTTTATGGGAGGAAATCAAAGAAACCTAGCTTACTTTAGTAGAAACTTCAGTAAAAAAGTCTCTGGGAAGATTAATGACGTTGCCCATAAGTAATACATCATGGATGTAACTGAGGAGGAAGGAAGGAGCTGGTTAAGCTGTAGGACAGTATTGAAATTCCAGTGATAGTAAAATTACTGCAGTGGGATGAAACACAGTACATTTCTAGACTGCATTGTTGCCTGCAGTAGCAGAGGAGAAAGCAGGGCCCCTTCTCATCAGCTGTTTCCACTGTGGTATGGAACAAGTCCCGTACTTATAATAATACTCCTTGTGGACTTCACCAGCAAAAATACCCTCACCCTCAGGCCTGTCAGTGGCCCCAGACACTGGCCTGTACCCCTGGAGTGGCTGCCTGGCTCGCAGGGAGAGCCCTCCTACCTCCTGTGTCCCTGGTTCTTGCTGAAGGGGACTCGCTCAGAAGGGACCAAGCTGATGTGTGCAGGGTATGAAACAGTGACAGTTAAACTGGCACCTTCCTTTTACTTAATTCTTCCAGGAGTAGGGTATAGGCATAGTCAGTACAGCCTGCACACAGAGATGGTGGAGTATGGATGAGGTGTTTTACTGTAGGCATTAACAAAAGCAAGAAGTTTGCACTCCAAGGATTAAAGTGGGAAGTAAGATATATTTTTAACACCTTTTGTAATTCAGGTTGTGGTAGCTTATCAAAGAAGGTGGTAGATACTCCATCACAGGACTGCCTGTCTCTAAAAAATGTGCTCTAACTCATCTGTGGATTTATGGAGTTAAATACAGGAATCTCTAGACAGAATCCTCTGGCCTGTGTTACCTGGGAGGTCAGAATTCACAGGTCTTAATGGTCTCTTTCTCCTTAAAGAACTATGAATCAAGTAAAAATCTGAATGCTCAAAAGCACTATGAATTTTTAATCTTACCATTTTGCACATTTTGCTTAGCACTGGAACAGCTGACATTGCTAGGTATCATGCTACCAAAGGAGCTGTTCATATGTTTGATTCCTGTACTCTAAAGATGTCATCATTACCACAGACTGAAATGCACAGTTTTAAAAAAATTACTCCAGAGTGTAGAAAAACAAGTGGTTTCTGGAAGAGTTCAGAAGGTGACAGTATCTCAGCTTTTCAGGTTTTTTAATTCTCCTGTTAGTACTCTATTAATCCCTTCCAATTGGGCTGCTACTTCACCAAATTAACCTCATGCAGTAAAGACTAGAATATGCAAAGGCCTGTAGTGTTTTAATAACAACTACCCTTGATCCTTTGATCTTAATGCAATTACAGTATCTTTGGTTTGGGGGTTTTTCTTTAAAGACTCTTCCGTTCTGAGGTACCTTGGCATACTTGAAGGACAAAAGTTAAACTTCTCAGTAGAAAAAGAAATTTGCTTGTTTTTTACTTTTGTTGAATGTACTGAGCATGTGTAGTTTAGATTTTCAGCAGTAGGAGTTGTGAATGCTGAGCATTCTGTAAATCAGGCTTGTATCAGAATCTAAATTTTGACTCAGTGGACATTGCTTTTACCATAATGTGACCCTGCAGAATCCACCAGCATGAAACAGTTAGAGAAGAATCCAGCCAGTGCCACACACCTTCCCTAATCCAATGGGAAGGAGAATGCTCTGTGTGAGCTCTGTGCTTATACAGGCTGCTCTTTCTTCCAGGGCATTAGGTGGCATCAGTGAAGCTGGGGTGAGATGGCCAAGGGGCATATTTTCACCTCAGTTTCTGTCTTACTTGCAGTGGTGAATTTAGTATTACACACTGTTCCTATTATAGAGCTGTGACTGTGCTAAATCTGCTTTCTGGTGATAAACCATGGGGCCATGTGATCAGCTGCACTGGCAACTGGAGGTCTACGTCTAAAAACCAGATGCCATAGAATGTGCTCTTAGGAGTAAACCGAAACAAAGCCCTGCCTTCATAACTCGCCATCTTTTATCCTATTTTGAGGTGAATATTCTTGAGTATACTCTAGTCGACCTCAAATATACACATCACTTACTAGAGTGTTTTGCAGTTCAGTTTTATGGTTCCAGCACACAGAATTAAAGTTGCTGTGTTTATAGGTGGTGGAGCTGAAGCCAGGTGGAAAAGACATTCCCGTTACCAGCGCCAACCGCATCGCCTACATCCACCTGGTGGCAGACTACAGGTTAAACAAACAAATCCGGCAGCATTGCCTGGCTTTCCGTCAGGGACTGGCCAATGTCGTGAATCTTGAGTGGCTTCGAATGTTTGACCAGCAGGAAATACAGGTACTTCTGCTTAAAACTGCAGAAAACAATTGCTTTAAACAGAAATAAATCCTGAGGTTTTTTCGCCTGTAATGTAATGGTCTAATTTCCTTCTCTGTTAGGTTCTGACTTCTGGTGCCCAAGTTCCTATTAGTTTGGATGATCTTAAATCTTTCACAAATTATTCAGGTAAGCATATTTTGCTTATATAAAAACATGTATTATGACTGACTTGGGAATAAATAAACTTGCTTTTTACCCTAGCTTTCAAGAAAAAGTTATAGGGTCAATCTTGTTACCTGTGGCCAAACTCTGTGGACAGACCTGAATTTCAGAAGATTGGTTACATTTACAATCCAGTTTTATAAATGCTGGGAAATAGAGATATGTAGTTTATTTTATTCACGCACTTAAATGCAATTTTATAGTTGATAGTGTGTGTTCCTTTTCTAAATTAAAGGTAGTCAATGATTGTGTCTGGTTGATCTGAAAATAAATCTGCAAATGACTTTGGGATTGTTGTTTCTATTACCACATTCAGATACTTACATTTCTCAGACAGTCTGAAGAGAGAGCTCATATTTTTTCCTTGTGAGAAATGCAAGGTATCTTACTTCATTCTTTCCCTGCATTTATCATGAATGTAATCAAAAAGTAGCTACTAAATCATCGATTCACATCTGGGCTTTCCTCAACGTAAGTTGATTCATTCAGTAACGTCCTGGGTCTTGCAGATTTTGCACACTTTTGGAGTAATCTGGAGTTATTAGGTAAATGCTAAACTAAATAAAATTAATTCAAAATATGATTCAATGAAGAAAACTTCTGTTAAGAAGCTGAGGGATACAGTAGCCATAGATAAGAAATGAAACTGAAAATGCAGTTCTCAGAGATCTGTAGATACTGGAAATTAGCAATATCAGCCTGCTGGTTACAATATTTTCCCCAAACTTTTCAGGATTTATGCTAGGTTTTCCTGAAGAATTTATTTGTTACATAAAACTATTCTGTCTATAAATCATTTACCTCTCATTGTAGGTGGCTACACAGCAGACCATCCTGTAATTAAAATATTCTGGAGAGTTGTTGAAAGCTTCACTGATGAAGAGAAACGCAAACTACTCAAATTTGTAACAAGCTGCTCTCGACCCCCTCTTCTGGGATTTAAGGTACATGTCCTCTGACTGCCTGGCAAGTTTCTGTAAATGCTGCAGATGTTGATCCAAGCTTTTCTCATCTGTAGGAATCTACAATTTGAGAAGAGTATTCCTCTGTCACTCCTGAAACACCTTCAGTGTTTGCATTTGCATGTGCAATAAGTATAGTTTTAAAATACTAAATGAAGTGTTATTCTGTTTTTTCTGTTTTAACTGCAAAACCTACAAACCCATTGGTCAGAGCATTTGCTGTGTGTCATTGAAAGCCCTTGCTGCCATTTCATGTTCCTGTGCAGAAGCAGAATTGCTACCAGTTTCAAGGAACAGGTTGACTTAAGAATAGTGTTTTTAAGTCAGGCAAAAGAGAAATGAGGATATAAAAGCAGCTATTAAATTTGAACCACTTAAATTAACCGTTTGAAGCAGGACATGTATTATGTTTCCTTCTAATTCACATTTACCTGCTTTTAGGTCACAGCTCAGTACCCTTTGTAGATAAATATTTTATTGCTATCTCCAGATTGCTATTTACAGGGAAGTTTTAAGTACGAAGAAAACTTTTTGTCTACTGCTGATAAAACTAAAGAGAGGCCAAGGCAAGGTGAAGACATTTTGAAACTAAATTCTGGGGATATTCTACCCATGAGTTTCACTGCACTGCAAAATTCTGGTTTAAAACCAGTCGTGGACTTAATTTCCTCTGAAATGTGGGAACATTCAGTGCTGTGTGGTGGTGTTACCATAGGATGGCAACATGTCCTCCATCTTCAGTATCTATAATCTATAGCTCAGCTGCACTCCTTTTATAGACACACCTAGGAGAGGAACTGGCACTTTCAGTTGGCAGTTTGTCTGACTTGCTCTATATGTCAACTTCAGGATGAAATGAATCATCTTAGACTCCACAAAACATACTAACTAGATTCCCTGTAACAATAAAGAGCATCCATGGATTTGGATATGGAGACAATGGAGATGGCTGCTTAATCACGTGAATCCTATCTAGGGTATTCGTTGACTGATTTACGTGAATGATTATTTAAAAGCCTGCAAGCATTTCTCCTAAACTTCCCAAGACCATGTGAATATCACTGTACAGGACTCTAGCAATGAGCAGGACAGCAGGAAGGACAATTAGAAAACTGTAGGATGAGACCAAGATAGAACAGTGCACATCAGTTGTGTGAGGGAGAACTGGGAAACAGCTGTGTGGAAACCAGTTAAACAGAAGTCTCCGTTTGTTGTCATCCTGTTTAATTACAAGGGGAGAGGAGGAAATGCAGATGTAGGTACCCAGCTTTGAGGTAGCCAGTGTGACATTTGAAGAGATGGAGGAAATGAATCAAAAGTCTGAAAATATTAAGGCTGACAGTGACACAGCTAAATGTGGAAAGCTGAAGTTTGTATGTGCACTTGGGAGATAGGCCACGAACTGACTTTTAACATATTTGACTAGGAAAAAATGGAAGTGACTGCAGTAGTATCTTGTTAACAGGGATTTACCACCTAACCAGGGGCTTGCCAGGAAATGTTTGCCAGAAAAGGAAGTGGGTAACTGGTATTGTCATCAGCAGTAATGTCCTGTTAGCCTGTGACAGTGTGTCATTTAATGCTTTGAAGGTGAAGAGTGTGAAGCCACGGGAGTGCTGAGTATTACTGGCCAAATAACTGAACCATATTTATGTTGCTGGTAGATGATCTTCAAAATTTGTTTACACTCTTGTAATGTATTTGTCCTGTGTTTTTCTGAGGGAATCATAATTTCTGGGTTATCACTCTGAAATCTTCTGTATGCTTTATATTGTGGAACTGGCATGTTTTCTTCAAGTTAGTGCATGTTAATTTAAAATAAGGAAATGTCTTGACATTCACAGCTTATAGATAGCACAGTCTAGCATCATTTTAAAATTTTAAACTTTCACTGCCAGAGTCAGGCTCAGAATAACATTTACTAAAGCTAATCAAAGTTTAATAAGTTTAAAAAATGTCATTGTTACGGACAAAAAAAAAATCATTAAAGTGTGGTTGAAAATTGTTAAGTTCCAATCAGGTCACATAATAAATTGATGATACTTTTCACTTCCAAACTATTGCATTTTCCTGCTGTATAGTATTTAATTATGCAACAAATGGTGCCCTTGGCATGACATTTCAATTTAGAACTCCATTTTTCCATTTTTAAAGCTAAAGTAGGGGAATTCAATTAGCATTTTGAAAGGAACACTAAAAATGCAGCATTTTAGCTGTGAAATACTTTTAAGGCCTCCATTTGAACAATAATTTAGCTTAGAATCTCATTGACCTTTTGCCTTTGGAGCTGGAATTTTTCTCCAGTTTCTAAAATCAGAACTTTTTTACCTCAGGCAGGCATTTGATAAGATGAATACTGTCTTGCCAGCAAAAGCAGTGCTTTAGAGGTAAAAAATAAATATTTTTTTTTTCACTATACTCCTTCTCAGAAGAAAAGAAAGGGATATTATTAAAACAATGAAATATTACATACAGAATATTTTAAAGTGCGTTATCACATCAGAAGAATAATCAGGATTTGACAAGGTTATATCGTTATGGACTCACTCTGCCTATCTGTGTTATGTTTTTGTGGCATTGTAAATGTGTATGATAGACTGTATGAACAATAACAAATCATTATATTCTCTAATATATATCATATTAGAGCCAACTAAATTGCCTTGTGTTTTGCAAATCAGTGGATCTGGGTGGGGACAAGGTAGAGCAAGGTACTACACAATTGAAGAGTGGTTTTGGTGCTACCAGGAATGAAGGAAAATGCTATTTGAGTATGTAATTGTGACAGGTGTTAATCTAGTGATTTATTTCCTAGAAATGTGTGCCAGCTACTGCAGAGTAGGTTTTGGCTTGTATATCTTTTTTTTGATATGTTTTTTTTTGTTGTTGTTGTTGCATTTTCCAGGAGTTATATCCTGCATTTTGCATTCACAATGGAGGATCTGATTTAGACAGGCTACCTACTGCCAGTACCTGCATGAACTTGCTGAAGCTTCCTGAGTTTTATGATGAAAATCTGATGAGAAGCAAACTTCTTTATGCCATTGAATGTGCTGCTGGATTTGAATTAAGCTGAGTCGAACTGATGCTTATTTGGATGATCTGCAGAGGAACTAACCAGTGCCTACTCTATAAGCAGCACCCATACCCAAGCAGTTCTAAGGGAATTCTGTCTAGATTTCTGCAGCTCTTGTGTCTTATCAAATGCCCTCAAATAGGTTTCATTTCTAAACACGATTTCCTAGCTTTCATTACTGAATATTATGTTGACACCGCTTTATGATTCAAAACAATGAATGCTGTGTGCAGTGTGGCTGATTTCTGTGTTTATGTGAAGAAAGAGCACATTTAAAGAACAGTGACATCTCAGTGAAATTAACCAAAGATGAAGCTTTGGCTTTGTGCTGTTCAAACATAAATAATATTACAAACTGGCAATAAAGTTGCGTACCGTGTAGTGCATTGGGATGAGACAGGGCTAACATCCTGCAATTAATCTTTTAGATGGAAGGGAAGCAGATGTTTGCAGATATCCCAGAACTGAGGATGAAAATGCTTAATTACTGGTAACCTAACATCTTTACTTACGTTGTGGAATTGTTTACAAGTCACAGAGAGATGGGCAATCACCAACTGGTTGTGTGTATAGACTGGGGAATGAGGGGCTGGAGACCAGCTGTGGAAAGGGACCCGGGGGTCCTTGTCCATGGAAAATTGGATATGAGTCAGCAGTGCCCTGGCAGCCTGGCTGCATCATTACCACTTGGACACTGTTCTGAATGGATGTGAGTATCCAGGTTTTCCCTGTCCTGTTTCTGTCTTTTGTGCCCGTACAGGTTTTTTGGTTGGTTGGTTTATTTCAAATGAATCAGACTCCTATTGCATACACAGTACAAACAAAAATCATCACTTTGGGAAAATACACATGTAACAATTATTAAAATTATTTGAACCAAAGTTATCAGGCTTTATCTTTTATATTTGAAGCCTGTGGTGTTCACATTCCTTTTCCCTATCATTTATTTCCATCTTAGATACCATATCTGTGCCGTAGAACTAATCAAATTAATTTTTTTTTTGTGATTAAACAACCTTTATATCCATCTCCCTGCAGTATTTCTGCTGTGACAAGTAAGTGGGAATATGCTGCTTAATAAAATTTGATATCTGGGGGAAAAAGTGCTTTCATATGGAAGGAGCTGATCCTCTAGTAGTAGGCACATTGTAGGGTTTCATATGCAAACTGCAGTCAATTTAAAAAAGGAATTATAGTTCAGACTATAAGATTCATAACTGCATCCCTCTGAACTTTAGTTTTATATTTTAAATCATCAAAAATTACAATCAAATTTGTATTCATCTCTTATGCAAAAAAATATTTTGCTGTTACTGGAAACTCCGCTGGATTTCCTATTTAATAAGCAGTAACCAGCAATATCCTTTTAAATGTGGGAAAACTGAGTGATTTTAAGATGTTTACTAGTAACCATATAAAAATGTATAATTTCTTAATTTGGGTAATAAATGAAGTGTTAAAATACTATTTGTAGTCTTGATGTACAGAAATAAAACAATCGGTTTTCTTTTTGGTTTTGCTTTAGGCTTTTTATTTATGTTAAGTATTACGTACCCAACCTATTCTTTATCCCAAATTCTTTTCTTGTATATTTTTCTACATAAATTATGGAACTTGTAAAGAGGTTGAAAAAGAGATCAGTAATAGTGGAACTGCCTCCTCTTAATTGCAAAACCTGAACACTTCTTTTAGATAGCATTATTTATTTTAGAACCTAATGCTTTAAATATTTTAAAATTATTTTTCAGTTCCATTATTTTACTACATTGGGTAGTGTTGTATCTGTATTTTGTAAAATTAAATTAAATTTTTCTATTAAATATTTGTATTTTGAAGATTGTATTGGAGTCATGCCAAGTCCCGGTAATGTTTGCTTTCTGCTTTTCAAAAGGAGACAGTGCACACTATTCCTGTCTGTGACCAGGGAAGCAGCGGGTTCCACAGGGAGTTTAGGCTGGGGGGGAAGTGTGAGCTGCAGAGAGGTGTAACTGCAGGAATCACAGAGCTGCAGAAAACTTCCCTAGAGAACTTGAGTTGGCTGAAAATACTCCGACATTTTATTTCTTTGGTATGTAGCACTCGGTGACCTCGTTTGTATATTCTGTACAGTAAGTGTGAAATTCTGACACTGGCAGGTCACTGAGAACAGTTGTAGCCCAGATCTCATTCTGCAGGTACCCGGCTGGAAGTCTGTGCTGCAACAGCTTCACCTCCCTCAGACTGCAGTGAGAGGAGTGAGGGGCTTTCCTTTGGCAACCGGTGCTTACACTTCTGCCAGCTGTTTTCAGAGAGTCAGGATGAAGCACAAGTTCCTGCTTTCCCATGATCTGTTGCTGGATATTTTAAGGAGCAAGGTATGAGAAGTAACATAGGCGTGTAGTTAGTCATGTCCTGAGGAGCTGGAGGGTTGAAATGATCTCTCACAGCACTTACACAGCGAGAATTGTTTCTATATGGAACTGGATTTTCTGTTTTTCAGAAGAAGAGCAAACTGTCTCCCAGTTGTGATGCTCCCAGAGTTTAGGTAGGCAGAGGCAGTAAACACCATGCAAGTAACCTGAAATATTCTTGTAGATTTGACCATCAGAATTATGGCAGTAATAATTATGGGTTTGGGGTTGGTTTCTGTACAAGATAACCCTTACAGTAAATTTCTGTACTACAGTGTTTCATCCTCCTAGTTCAGTACTTGTTTTTTGAAAAATGACAGCATTTTATGATTGGTTTTTGTTTTCAAATAAATTTGGGTTTATAATTTTGTAACCTGTTCTAAAAACATTTTTGTCAAGGTCTGTATGATGGAAGAGGTCACAAATTTTTCATCTCTACAGAATTAACAGGCATTAAAAATGGAATAAAGAAATAAAATTAGCAGTTGGTCTGTTTATCTCAATGAGAATTTTTCCAGATAGGGGTTTAGTCCTATTAGCTGGATTAAAAAAAAAATAAAACACAGCAAACCACAACAGAAATGATGGGCCTTGTTCCTTAATCTCAGTTGTCTTCCATCATTGTCCTGAAAGCCAAACTTGCATAAATTTCATAAAACTCTTTCATGATTTCTAGGGAGCATTTATATATCTACAAAAGAGGAAAGATTTTCCTCCAGTTTCTTGTGTAAACACTGAGCTGACAGAAGTTTGATTTGAACAGTGAGGATATCTTCAGTTATTTTTATGTGGGCTGCTCCATAATTTAAAAAAAAGGAGAGCTTCCTGATGCTATTATAGTAGCAATGTGGACAGTTTTTTTGGTACCACTTGAATAATACAGCACAAACATCCTAATTTGATGCTATAACGTGGTATGGAATTCAAAGAAGACACTTTGAGTGCAGTGAGGTCATAAATTTCAGTTTATACCAAAAACTGTTTGTTAAATGCCAGTGAGACAGCACATACTCTTTTCACCACTGAAAAATAGTACAGCACAGAAAATAAAAGGAAAAAACAATAGAAGAATATTTTGTTGGATCTGTGATTTTTTTGTATTTATAATTATATGCAAAAACTCTACAACATTTGCTCATATACATGACTGTGTTAATAATGGTTTGTGATGTAAATGCTTGTTACTTTTTTTTTCATAATGCTTTGCCTGTCAGTGAAGGAGAGAAGAAATGAACATGGTCTGTAAAACTGATCAGGATATCTATATTTTTATGGACTTATGCTTTTGTGAATAAAATAATTTGAGTTTTCTTGAAACTCTGCAGAAACACTATTTTCTTTCATTTTTTGCAGTAAATTGGGCATTTTCTTTTTAAAGATTGATGATACTGAATAAGTTCCAAAAGAAGCCGATATTAACTAGTCATTGATCTTAAAGTTCCTACTGCTGGAGCAGGCTGCCCAGGGCAGTGGTGGAGTCACCATCCCTGGAGGGATTGAAAAGATGTGTAGATGTGGCCCTCAAGGACATGGTTTAGTGGTGGGCTTGGCAGTGCTGGGTTAGTGGTTGGACTCGATGATCTCAGAGGTCTTTTACAACCTAAACTGTCCTATGATTCTACTGCTTCAGAATGATTTGTACCTTCAGTTTTTGAGCTGTGAAGTTCCCACTCTGTCAGCCAAGCTGCATCTCACAGGTTTGGCTTTGTTTCAGTGTGTCTTTCAAACAGCGTAGCTAGCATCACTTGATGTGCTTTGAAGAGACTTCTTAGAATGAAACTCCATGGATAAAAACCTGAGAAGCTGTAATTCATAGTGAAGAATGCTGCTCTGTCAGCAAACGTGTACAAAAACGTCTCTTTCAGCTTCTTCTGGAATTTTAGCACATATGTGGGCTCTTCTGAAGGTGCAGTTTAATTTTTATCTCCTTTGATAATTACAATTTTCTGCTTCCCTTTGCTTACTTATTTTCATTGCTAAATACGCTTTTAGTTCCACTGTAGTATTTATAAAGTTAATATTGTGCATGTTTGTTTTTTAATACTTAGAAATAGCAGCATAAATGCTTCAGCTTACCTGCCACTACAATGTGGTTAACATAAAATTACAGAAAACTCATCGTGTGGGGCATCTCATAATTTGTAGCATTAATAGAAAACAAATGCCCAGGTGTCTTGCCTGTCTTTCAGTATGTATCTGATAGTCTGGAAAGCTTATTAAGTTTCTCACAAGTGTAGAGAGATAACACAAGGCAAAAAGTGACTATGAAGTTTATACCAGTTAAATCCATTTCAAGGAACAGAATGGTTGCAGTCAGCAGGAATGTCTGGAGATCACCTTGTCCAACCCCTCTGCTCAAAGCAGGGTCACCTACAGCAGGTTGCTCAAGACCTGATCTCATCTCTCTGGTGACCACGGGTGGGACCCAAGGGCATGGTCTGGAGCTGTCTCAGGGGAGGTTTAGGTTGGATATTAGGAAAAGGTTCTTCACCCAGAGGGTGGTTGGGCACTGGAACAGGCTCCCCAGGGCAGTGGTCACAGCACCAAGCCTGACAGAGCTCAAGAAGCGTTTGGATGACACCCTCAGGCACATAGTGTGACTCTTGGGGATGGTCCTGTGCAGGGCCAGGAGTTGCACTTGATGATCCTTGTGGACCCATTCCAACTGAGCATGTTCTGTGATTGTGTGACCTTGCCCCATGGAGTTTGGAATGTCTCCGTGGATGGAGAATCCACAATTTCTCTGGGCCACCTGTTTTCAGTGTTCAATTAACTTTACAATAAAACATTTTTAAATCAAGTTTAAACACATTTCTTTTATTCCAGTTTGTATCCATTGCCTCTTGTTCTGTCACTGGGTGGTACTAAGGAATCAGAGCCTTCTCCAGGCTGAACAGCCCCAGTTCTCTCAGCCTCTCCTCATATGACACACGCTGCAAAGCCTTAATCATCTTTCTGACTTGCTTGTTAGTGAACACAGCAGCATCTAAATACCTTTTGTGGACTTTGATGTGACTGGGAAGCGAGCAGATGACACTAACTCTTCTTCCTTGTCAGATGCCTGTAGTTGTTAATCAGTGGCACTTATCAGGTAGGGTTGAATTTAAGATTTTATGGCCTTTTTCAATTTCCAGCACTGCTTTGACTCTTCAAGGATTTTGCAAATCTCTTACAACTGCAAAATAGCAGACTCAGTAAAAACTGAGCTCTGAATTATTTTCACAAATTTTTACAGATACAAGGCTAAACATTGATGCAAAAAACATAGGACTGGTACTAAATCACCTAAATGGGTATCCATTTCTTCTGCCAGCAACAATATCAAACATCTAGAAGAGCAACTTCTTGGATAAACTTCTGTAATTTGGCTGTTTTCTGGAGCCTGGGTAGCCCAGAATCCAGCAAAGCACATCACACAGTCAAACAGGAGAAACACAGGAACTCTGACTGGCACCAATGGGACATAAAGGCAGGCACAGATGTCCTGCAGCTTGATTTCATGCTGTCAAGGGATGAACTTTTCCTATACGATGGTTAAACTCTTGCTACATTTAATGCCAGAATAATTGCTCTCCAGTCTGGGGCTAAGTTCCCCTGTCCACAGCTCTGTAGAAAACACACATTCTGTTTGCAAAGTTTGTTCATGTATTTATGGAAGCAGCATGCTCAAATGTCCTACTATATTTAACATCAGTCTTTTCTGCATTCCCAGAGCAGCTGTTTGTTCATTCTGTGTAACATTTAACTGAAAAGTAGTTTTACATTATTTCTATTTTATTCTTTGTTTATAGTTACACATAGTTCTTGATTGCTGAAGAAGGAAACAGGCATTCACCAGATGGTGTTATTTCAGATCATCTTGTTACTGCTCCTTGCCCAAATGTTAGACCTGGGAAAAGCATCTCTCCTCAGTTGCTATGTAGTTTTGCTGTATGTTGTCAAACAGACCTTCTGAAGGAATTGTTTCCTTCTAGACCTTGTGTCTTTAATTAAGAATAATTCTTTTTGTTACATTAAGAATAATTATTTTCATTACTCTGCTTAACTGCGTTTCTCTGCACTTCCAGGCAAACAGCAGCAGAGCTCAAAGTTCTGCAGAGATATTTTAGGTCTAATTACCTAGTAGATCTGTCTGGTTATTGATGGAAACTTACATAGAATTAACTAATATTTGCCATTGGCGTATAGATAAGAAAGCATATCCCTGATCAAGTTAATGAACATAAATGCTGATCAAGCTGTCCTTGCAAGGAATAAGCACTTGGCATAAGCTGTGAGATCCTACTGCCCACAACAGTTCCTGGGTTGTTGTCTGCAGACCCCAAATAATCAGCAGAACACATCTGATGCTTTGGGAGGAATTGGCAAAAACACCAGCTATGCTGAAATATTTTAACCACTTTCAAAACCATCCACTTGGCTCAGGCTTTTGCTTACAAAGTGGAGTCCAGATAAACTTGCAGCCTCTAGATTACCTAAGAAGCACTGTTCAGAGAAAAATTGAGGTTGTGCTCAGCAAAAAAACCACTGGAGAATGCTAATGAAAATTGGTTATTTTGTGCTTCTAATGCTTCTACTGAAAGTTTTAAACACTAGGTGTATTGCCCATATTTCAAGTCTAATTGTTTCTGATAAGCTATCAGCAAAAAGTTAATGCTTATATTTAATTGTGGCACTTTCCAGAATTACTTTGCCAGCAGTACTGTAATTAAATGACGTGAGAACAGTCTTTGATACATTTGCTCATAATCTTTGTTAAAACCAAAAATAGAATCTGTAAATAGAAAAACTGGATGCATTAAGCAGCAGGGCAGAGCAGCAGGCTGGGAAGGCTACAGCCATTACCACCTCAAAAGGACTAATATTAATGTCTCTCTAATGCAGCATTTTTAAGCATTTCTTGTGTTCTGATGGGCTTTTCATAATTGACCTCCATAAATAATAGAAGAAGAATCTGGGAACTATGTGAATTGCTAATACCTCCTGGAATGCTGCCACATTATTTCCATCATTAGGTTATAGCTACCAGTTAGGCCTGAATTCATCTCATTTAACTTCAGCCATCTGTAAAGAGGCTGTCGAGGCACTTCCGATGAAGAGAGGCAGCCCAGGGACAGGGCTGGGCAGATCTTTCTTTCCTAAAACACATCTCCAAAGTGAGTGGAATGAACTGTGCCCTGGAGGTGCCCCCTCCTCCTCTCCCTCTTCATAGTCAGTGGCTTTAAACCAGGTTCTTGACTCTGAGACAGCTGAAGTAGGGAGAAGTGAACCAGACCTTTCCCTCATGTTCCCAGGTGAGAGTTGAAAGTTCTTGAACAATGAAGATCCTTCGATAACAGAGTTTATTCTGATCCATGACTCAGCACTTGGATACCAGCCCAGATCTGCCTGGATCTTTGATACCAGCTTTGACAGACCCACTAGACCTTATCAGCTTTTGTTATTGGAATGTTGATGCTCTGCCAGCAACATCAGATTTAATGCTCCTTAACTTCTGCTGCAAGCAGCTAGACATAAAAGCATAGAACACTTTGACTTTATACTTTTGCAAATACCTTTGAAAGTTTTCTGAATCTAAAAGCTTTTCAGTTTTATTATTCCTATAAATGGATCTAATTAAGCATGTTAATGAAGTGAGTTATGTAATCCTTTTGGATTTCAGTGAAGCTTTCGATACTGTCTCTCCCAGTATCCTTTCTGGACAAAATGCCCAGTGCACAGCTGGATAAACACATCATGTGGTGGGTGAGCAATTAACTCACAGGTCGAGCTCAAAGGGTAATAATGAATGGAGTGACATCAGACCGGAGACCTGTCACTAGTGGGATTCTGCAGGGCTCCATCTGAGCCTCTGTGCTTTCAACATCATCATAAATGACTGGGATGCAGGACTGGAGAGGATACTAAGTCGGGAGGAGCTGCTGATTCCCTCAAAGGCAGGGAGGCCCTGCAGAGAGACCTGGATGAATGAGAGGGCTGGGCAATCACCAACCACGTGAAGTTTAACAAGGCAAAGTGCTGGATTCTTCATCTGGAATGGGGCAACCCTGGCTGTTCATACACACGGGGGAATGAGATGCTGGAAAGCAGTGCTGCAAAAAGGGATGGGGGGGTCCTGGTCGGTGGCCAGTTGGGCTTGAGTCAGCAGTGCCCTGGCAGCCAGGAGGGCCAGTCTGGGGTGCCTCAGGCAAAGCATTGCCAGCAGTGCGAGGGAGGGGATTGTCCCTCTCTGCTCTGCACTGAGGAGGCATCACCTTGGATACTGTGTGCAGTTTTGGACACCACAATATAAGGATGTTAAGCCACTGGAGAGTGTCCAAAGGAGGGC